GGGTGAGCCAGACGCTGCCGCGGGGCGGCACCCTTTAATGGTTCATTTCTATAGGATTCGATGTGCCGAAAGAGATATCTGACAGGTCGAGGAGGGGGAGATAGTTACTTCTGTGCAGTGTAGGTGTTTTTGTATTGTTTTTCTCGTGCTTGTCCACCCACGCCGTGATGGTTCAGTGCTGTAGAGGTACGCAGTGCGTTAGGTCCACGTTTGTTCCTAGGGGTTTCTGTACTCCTGAATTGAACCAAGAAAAAGGTTTTGATGAATTGGTGTGGATATATACCTATCTGTATACCTATATATTTATACAGGGCATTGTGCTCTCTGGTTTTCTATTCCAATATCGGTGCTGTATCTTGGTAACATTCGTTTTAATTTGTTGGCTTTTTAAAGGGTGGAAGGAGTATTTTGGGTATTACATGGGAAATCTTTTTCAGTGGGAATAAAAGGATGTGCAACAAGACCAGGTGAGCTCTGACCTCCAGATTTACAGAGAGAACTGGGTACTTCTGCCTGTATTTGAATCGTGTCCAGATACATCCTCTAATTGTTGTAATTGTGAACCTCAAAAGTGTGAGATCTCAAAAAGGGAAGAGCTGTGTGGGGTTTATAGTCACTTATTTAGCCAATGTGAAGTTGCAGTTATGTAAGTAAATTTATTATGCCTTTTTTCCCTCCGGAGTTATTTATTTGTTAATTTAATTTGCTTAATTCAAGTTTCCAAGAAAGCCTGACGGAGGCCCTGCACTGGCACATCCTGTGTTGCAAAGCAGGATTCCAAGCCTTACTTCCTGGTTTCTGCTTCTCTGTATGAACTTTCGAAGAGACCTTTTTAGCTCTGACTTCAAAATGGGGATCTAGATCTTCAGATGCCTATGAAAAGTGCACGGATGCTTGAAGTCCGATGTGGTAAAGACAGCAGAGATGGCTCAGTCCATGGCTACTTTGCTTATCCCTCAGAGAAAGGGAATGCTAGCTGGAATTTCCTAGAAGACACATGAAGTGACAGCGTAATATAGACCTGTGCTCTTGCTCACTTCTGCCCAGAAACTTCCAAACCAGAACTTCCAATTTAGCAGCACTGAAGTTGTTTGTCACAGCTGGCAGTTGTGTCAGATGCGGAGAGACGTTTGTGTGTGCTGTCTTTGGATCTGAAAGCCTGACACAGGTGTGACACAGGGGTGCCAGGGCAGTCCACAGAAGGCAGCTTGGGATCAGAAATAGTATAGGCATATTTTAGGGCGCTAATAGGGCTTGACTTTAGTAACTGGGCTGTAATGGGCACAGCTGTGGTGTTTGTGGGGTTGAGTTTGTCCGTTTGTGCAGTACTGCTCAGGTGGTCTTGACAGCTCAGTTTTTGCTAGTTGGAAGTGTCTGCACTCTGAACTTTATACTGGTGTGGTGGCATATGTATACGTAGAATATCTCTTAAAAGAGTCAAAAAGGGGACATATAAATTTTTACTTTCGTATTTTTTTCTTTTTAAGTCTCAAACTTAAAAAAACCCAAACTTGCATTTTCTCCTGCACTATTTAGTTTTGTACATGCAGGATTACTTTTGGTGCAAAAGGAACAATGTGTCTTGAGAAAGTTTTGAGTAGAAGAGTTGATGTTTTTTGAGCATGAGCCGATTTAGGTGGCCTGGTAGAAACAGAAGTGCCTAGGCAGTGGGAATAGGCTGAGTGGGAATGCCATGCTGTGAGGTTGCCTTCAGAAGCCACAAGCTTAATGATGGTGGGTGATGGGGTCAGAATAACTGTAGTTTCCTCAGAATGGCTTGGGACTGCAGACTGGTTGGGAGAAGGCAGCATCAACATGTTCATTTTTGCTTTGAGTGGATACCACAACTGTGCTCTAAATTCTGAAAGCTCACTGGACTCACACTACTGACAGCTTCACATTTAGTAAGTCTTCCATATGGGATTAAAGTTTGCCTCCTTACCGATGGCGATGGCGTTACAGAAACTGTAGTGGAAAGACTGAGGAAAAACCTTGAACCTTTGGAACAGCATTTTGTAAGGCCGAAATGCTATTCTTCAGCTCTGGAATGTGAACGCCTCCATTGTTGTGCAATACTTGTAATTTCTTAAATAAGCTGTTTTGAAATCTTGACTTTTTTTTTTTTTTAGCATTAGCATGCCTGTTTTGATTTTTCTTTCTCCTCGTGAACTGGATTACAGATTGATTAATTTTAGACAAAGTTTGGGTGGTTTGTTTTGTTTTGTTTTTTTTCTTAAAAAAAAAAAAGGCAGGGAATGATGCAATAAGGCAACTGACCTTCACGTTAAAGTAACATTTCTGGTGCAAGGTTTGGGCTATAGAGTATTTTTTTAATGTGTTGATAGGAACTGGCTGAAAGCATGGTGTGCTAAATGCTATTGCTATGTTGTTTGCTTGCTCTGTTTACTTCTTGATAATTTAAGCTAGTGGAGTTCTTTATAAATGGCATACTTGCCTACCAGACTGGTTTTCTTTTTAGTCAGTTCAGTTCAGTTGCCTGAAAAAAAAATTGTTTTTATATTATTTGTTGGCTGCAGGAAACCTCTGTGAGGTTTCTGGATTGTTTCACAACACAAGAAAATAATCTTCACTACATCAACCATTTGAGACCGTGACTGTTTCTTGAGTCAGTTATGCCTGATTGCAGTTAAGATTCGTCCTAGCTCTGGTTTGAGTCTGATGAAAGAATTATGCGAAGGATGGATCACGGAGCCCTGGATTGCAAATATATAGTTACACTATTTGGAGCCAGTTGTCCATGTGAGTGCCAGGACTCAGATGGCATGAGTTTGTGTGGTAGTTTTGTTTGTCTGTTCAAACATTATTTTTGCCATAATATCTTCTTAAATTTAGAAACAAGTTATTAGTTTTGTCTATTTCTTATCTGTTTGGCAAGATAAGAGTCCACCTTCACTGGACTTTGTATTTTCCGATCAGAAACAGGATATCCCAGTAGTGCCTGTGTAATGGCTGCAGGGGGATTGTCTGCCTTTCTGTACAGCTGGCCATCTTGCAAGGCATTGTGCCATCTGTTCCTAGTGCTGCCCGCTCCGCTTCCCACAGGCCTCCTAGTGCAGAAAGAGTCTTGTTGGGAGAGCCTCAATAGAGAACAGCTGTGCTTTAAGTGGGCTGGCCCATAGCAGCTGAATGGGGTTTAAGTGACTGATGCAGTTGTGTAGGACTTAATAGTTACCCTGCACTGGGAGAAACTGTCCAGTGCAGCCCATCGGGTACTCACTGCCTGTGGAAGAAGTTTTCCATGAATCATTAATCAGAGCTGTTTGAAGTTCATGCAGAATTAGACCCATCAGCTTTGTCATGTGCAACATTTTTCGTAAAAGAGCAAGATTAGGTGAAATGTTCTCTGTACATTTCTGTATGGTGTTTAACATGGGGAGTCTTTGAGAATTAACAAATATTCCCCTTTAACTTATGCCAGATCCTTTGTATTCTTTGCTGCCATCTTTTCCCTATCCTGTTCTTCTGCTGCTACTGCAGTTATACTGCCCCAGTTAACACTCCTGAATTCTGTTGCAGCACACGGTGAAAGGATTAGAAAATTATCAGTACCTGCTTATCTCTGTTCACTGGTTCACTGTAATCTGTGTCATCACATTCACGCTGTTGCCTAGCTATCCTAGAATATAATGACGTACATTTGTGGTAGCTGTCCTCTTTACAGGTTTTATGGCCATTATCACTGTAAATATCACTGTTGGAGCACTAAAACAGGGATGAGAAATTGTAGGAAAACTCAGGAGATATATTTACATCCTAGAAGAGCATCAAGAATGATAGGGCCATTTTTAGTGCAGATTGGAGTTTTTGTGAAGGCATTTGCCAGTACAAGAAGGGATAAGGGGCTGTGAAGTATGGAACGGGTGTCAGTGTTAAGCTGAAAGTACAACCTCATTCCTATAGACTTGAATTACTTTTTGGGGCTGTCTTTTGATTCTGACTCTGTCAAAGTGCAGCTTTCTCAAATACTCCAATGAATTCAGAACCTTTTAAGTTACAGGACTGTCTGAAATTTATGTGAATCTTCATGATACTGTTAATACTGAAAAGTAAGTTATATAAACAAGTTTTACACTCACTATTCAGGCTTCTCCAGAACTTCACAGTGCCATATTATGGATTACTGCAGAGGATCTATGTCCTGCTCTCAATTACTTTGTTACTGCAGGATTGGCTTACTATGCTTCTGATACCCAAAATAAAGGATGTGGGGTTATTTACCTTTCTTAGTACTGAAGTACATAGTACAAGACATATCTGTAAAGCACTATAAAACACCTTCTCTCCCCCTTCCCCAAGTAGAGAGATTTATTATGCTAATATAAAAAACCAGTTTCTCTGTTGAAATGAAAGGGTGTTTTGTGAGTTTTCATCTCTAGGATTGGAAAGATGGGTATTGAATGATCACTAGAGCACTTCTGAGCAAGTGTAGCTTGTCAGGCCAGGCATTTCTTCATGAAAGGGTGGTGCAAGACCTCACGGGCTGCCAGGTCTGTTTCCTTCCCACTTTAGTAAGAGTAGGCATAAACAACATACGGCTCTTGAGGCTTGAGCGCTGCTGTGGATGGAAGTAGGCTGAGATGGTGCACTGCTCTCCTGGGAGCTGCTTGCAATAGTCCCTTCCTTTCCCCCAGCTCCCCTGCCTGGCTTTTACATTGCACTTGGTGTGTATCCTATGGTTCTTGCCCTCCTGTAGATTTTGGTATGGAGTGTGTAGGGTCAGGAAGACTGGCTACAGCAGGACCTGTTGAGTTTTAGGTGCAGCACTGCAGGAGAGACCAGTGGGAAGCCATGGGAAGACAGCAGTGAGGAACGTGCCTTCAAGGAAGGGTTAAGTGAGCTGAAAGCATTAGCATAAAATCAAGAAGTCTGAGTTGGAATACAGTTATTTTACTTGGGAAGATATTATGAAGAGTAGTGAACAACCTGTTCATTAATTGCAGCAAGGCAGCTTCAGATTAGGTACTGAAGAAACTTTTAATATTAAAGATAGCTGAGTACTGGAGTAAAGAGTTGAGGAGAGTGTGAAATTTTTGTATGTCACTGGAGAGCTTTAAGAATACATCTGTCGAGAATGAGATAGATGTAGTTGATTCTGACTCTGGAAAAGTTTGCTGTTCTCTGGTCCTTGAGATGTTACTGTATCAGATCAGGAAGGTTTGGAGCAAGAACAATTGAATCTGATTATTTTCTAGCACCAACACTTTGAAACTTTGAAATATTTCTAAGCAAGACTGGCATCAAGTCTTCTGAGACTACTTAGTGAAGAGGCAAAACAAGAATATATGACAACTCAGGGGAATGGATGTACAGAGTATGGGAAAATATCAGTAGAATTTGTTGGATCTGGATGTGAACAGACAGATCATGGGATTGGCAAGAATATGAGTTCTCTGTTCTATGTGAACACAAAATTGCAAGAGCCATGGTGTAGCTGCTGTAGCAGAGTATTAGTAATTTCTTTAGGTTATTGATGAGCTTTATGAACCTGTGCCATTCAAGAGATGCATCACCATCTGCTGAGATGATGGTGAGGGCAGACATCTCTCAAGGAGATGCTGCAAGGACAGGCAGACCATGCAGCAGAGCCCGTCCAGCAGTCTGTGGCCATCTGAACAATTAGCCTGACTCCCTCCTCCCAGCTGCATTCTTGGATCTCTTGTGTTTGTCTGGCTCTTCCTTGCTTGTTCAAAAGACAGAAAAATGGTCTGTCAAAAAAGGGAAAGTTTTTGTGCAGATTTAATGAGCTAAATTGGCTCACTGACTTGGCATAAATGAGAGGGAAGGATAATGTGCAGGAAAGATCTACATTCTCTCTTTCAGTGGCAGAAGCAGCAAGTGGTTAAACTGTCTTATTTGTCTGCACATTATGTTCTAATTTTTGTAACTTTGACAGCATGGAAATGATCCACTGAACTATTTAATTTCTTAAACACATAATATGCTCTTCAAGTGCAAGTTTAAAGTATATTCCTGAATTCGTGATAGTGCTTGTGGATACTATGGGAACAGAATTAACAGCTGTTTTGCAGGAAATTAATCATTGTGTACATAGCTCACTTTGTACATTTAACAGTCAATTGTTGAGCATATCTGTCTTGCTTCATGCCCTTCATTTTCAAATAAAGCATTGGATTCAAATTAAAAAAAAAAGTAGGAGGGGATTTTCCTAGTTTTCCTCAGTCATTTCCTTTTTCTTAAAATCTGTTAGTTCCTTCGTAGATGTTGAAAAAAGATTGCAAAATACTTCCTGTATAAAAGCCCTTAGATTTCACTTGAGGCTTAAAAAAATAATTACTTTTAAACTGCCTGGAAGAATCAGTCATTTGTGCTCTTTGAATTCCCAGAAAATAGAAGAACCTAGGAAATAATGACACAAAGTTTTGGTAATCTGTTAAACAGTTTGAGGGTATAAAAGATGTACAGCTGTGAATTCTAAGAACTAAAAGAGCTAAAAGTTTAGGGGATTTTTATTTTATTATTAATATACAGAATTCTTAAAACATGCCAGTTTTCTACTGAATCAGATTTTGATGTTTTTCAGTTTTTGACAGTCCTGGCTATCTGTCTATCCTGTTGATTACCCATTGTTTTAAGGATTTTTTGACATTACACTTGCATTTCAGAAGCTCTCTGTTCATGAATTGGGACTGTATTATACCAGGCACTGGATATTTTAAGTATTTTCTGGAAAAAAATTTAGTGTTATATAAAAATCCCAAATGAAAAGCCTTTTTCTGTATTTATGTATTTAAAATTTTGAGCAACCTGAACTTTTTATTGAGACTCATTTTCAGCTGTTGGGTGGGAAACCATGACTGAAACACAGAGCTGAAGAAGATGCTGAAGGTATGGAGAGGTTTTCCAGAGGAAAATGAAATACAGTTAGAATCACTCAAGGCTCCCAAAAGGCAAACAGGGAGCTTAACATTATTTTTGAAGAGGTGAGTCAGGAAAGCTCTGTGGCAGTCATTACTTTTGGCCACGTGCAAGAGAGATTTGACTTTTGCATGCAGTGTTTTTGAGGGGCAGACCTGGGAGAGTTAAGGTCCCATCTGCAAAACAGCCCCTGAAATTACAAGAGGGAAATGAGAGGACAGAATGAGTGAGTCAATGAATTACAGCAATTGGGGTTTGAAAGAAAGAAGCAGATCCCCATTGGATAGGGGTTTGAGGTGTCCTGTGTGGCATAATTTGGGAATGATAACCAAAGAAAAGAAACAGGATTACTGCTGAAACTGACAGCAATGAATGTTCTTTACAGTAGGCTAGCATGCATTAAATTAGACTTCACTTCAAAGACTCAGTGCTTAAAAAACATTTACAGAGCAACTGATTTTTACCTTTTATTGTCTATTATTTTTAGTAAGATGAGAGGCTTCTTTTCCATTATATCTTGTGAAATAAGTGATTATTATTATTTTATCCTTACTAAAGAACCCCAAACTATACAGTAGGGAATGCAGATGTCATTCTTTCTCATCAAACTGTTTTATTAAAAGGTGGTGGGGAAGAAAACAAACCAACCCTTACATGAAACGAGTAAGCATATTCCTCTGGAATAGAAAACCTGGGGATGTGCTCTGTGTCTTGTAGGTAGTCATTCTGTCAGGATAATGCCTTAAAGTTGCCCATACCTTGCAGTGGTTTATGTGCTTCCTCAAACTTATGTCTTCTTCTCAATGTTTTTTTCCAGGAAATGATCCGAGTCAGTGTTACGATGTTGAAAGCCAATGGAGAACTTCACAAAGGACAGGTTTGTCTGGTTTTTCTATTTATTCAGAGAATTAATATGCCGTGGAACAAAGTCTGCCTGTGGATGCAAATATGTCATTTTGTCTGACGTCAGTCACTATAAAGTGTGTTCCTCTGAGTGCAGAATTGTTGGATAGGGCCAGGAACTGTACACTCATTCTGTCTGTCTTTCTTTCAGGTTCTTTTTAATATCACCTATATTAATGGACAGGTATATGTAAATGATTTTCCTATGAAAAGCGGGGTTGCCCACATAACATGTCAAACAGCAATATGTGAGTATTCCCTTTTCCTTTTTTTTTTTTTTTAAATTTTTTTATTTTCCTCCTTCCCCCTGGGTTATTTGGCTTCCCAGTTATCTAGTAACCAAGGCTTACAATGACTATGTGTTCTGTACTCTGCAAACCCGAGCATTGTAGAAACAAATCATTTCCCAAGGCAGGACAATACTGGTATTAAAATGGGCCTCAAGTCACATTTATATACTTATATGTAAATGGTCTAATCGGAAATCCAGACTCCGCCTGTCTTTTAAAAAGAGTGTTTTGCAGGACAAGCTAGACAATGTCAACAGTAGGATGCGACTCCACCCTGCTAATGGCTGTGTCCCTAGGTTGGCATATATCCAGAAGGAGATTCAGTAACAAAAGTATGAACTGTTGTTAGGAAGATCTTTTACTGATCTCACTTCTGTGTCTAATGAACAAATAAGTTTCTGCTGGATAGGATATTATAGCACAAATAATGCAGTTTTGGTAGTGTCCCGCAGTGGTTAATGACTTTTAATTATCTTGAACCTTCTATTTTTCCACCAATTCAATGCTACCCTTTTTGTGAAAGACCAGCAAGTATTGTGATTTTTTTGGGATACACAGGGTACACTGTATAATTAATGAAAAAAGGACCATTTTGCTCATTTGATTTAAACTTCTGTTGTATTCAGAATGATCTCCTGATGGATCAGGTGCTGTCAGTCTCTAGCATGATATCTGAGGTCATCCTCGTCAGACATTGACTTACAGAGTACTAACGCTTTTTCAAATTGCTACTCTGAGCCATGACCTTGTTGCTTGAACCCCTCTTTCCCAAGCACAATCAGTTATTAATTTGATGCTAATTCTTTTCTGGAGAGGGAGAGCAGTAATCGATTTCTCTTTTTCTGGGATAGTTATGTTTCTATTGGTTCTATTTTTTTTCTATCCAACGGTAGAAAGCTATGGCAAAATGTCATTTAGCTGCAAAATAATTCACTCCAGAAAAAACAGATATGATTTTATTGACTGATTCTGAGAGCTCCTGAGCACTCTCCTGCAGTTCCTATTAATTTCCCAAATCATACTTTTGTAACTTGCAATGAGTACAGTTATGAACATGAATCTGAAACAGTGAGGGAAATACTGATTTGACCTGGGAGCTAGGAACCTGGAATTCTCTATCTCCGTGTTTGGGTCTGAGTCTTCAGCATAGTACCTGGCTCTATGACCTGTAATGTAATGTTTGTACTATTTACTTACTAAATCCTTCACAACAGATTCAAGTAGTGTTTGTAAAATGTTAAAGAAATATAGGAATAGGGGGAAATACTCCTGAATGTATATAAACCCCAAACTTGAGCCTAATAGTCATGCTTCTGAATATCAGAGACCAAGTATTCTGAATGGCATTGTTTTGACGTTGTTGTCAGATCATGCCTGACACCTATATCCCCACTCTAAGTTCCCATAAATGTCAATTTTGGAAGTGTATCTGTCATTCCTGTTGAATGTAGTGGTTGAAAAGCCTGACACATGAAGGACTGGGACTACAGAGAGCTTCAGCTACTTGAAATCTTAGAGGTTTTGGTCCTTCAATGTGTGCTTGCTGCTGTAAGACAGAAAACATTCAGCAGCTAGGTTAGTGCTCTACCTCATAACTATAGGGAACCCTTCTCTCCTTCTGCCACTTACTTTTGCAACAAAAGATATTGCTAAATAATGCCAAAACGTATTTTTCTATATTTAAAATAAGCAAAATACCTTTATGAGGACAGGGATTGTAGCATAAAAGTAATGAACACACTGAGTTGTTACTGTAAGACTAGTCCAGCCTTACCCCATGTTACCTCTCAGGCTCAGCTCTGTCAGTGACACACACATGCACAGCACCGGTGGCTTAGCAATAGTCTTAGTTCGTGTACCTTGCTGTCTGCATGCTGGGAAGATTGGCCACCTCCCCTCTTCCACTTCTCCACCACTTTAGTTCTAGCATGCCCTCACCCGTAGTAGAGCTGTAGTACTTGGGAGAAGGATACAAAGTCTATGCAGAAACAACTAGGGCAGGAAGGCAGTTCTGTGGTACTTGTGGAATATTAGGCTGTTGAAATAGCTGAAATCTTTTGAGTAGGAAGAGAGTTTGAGGTGTCACCAGTCACATATGAAAACAGAGATGGGAACAGACACATGTATGAGGGAACTGTCACTCATCTTGAGTAGTAGCTACAGAGTGCCTGGAAAAGAGCATGTTAGTTTCTGTATTGAGAGGAAGGGGAATGTTATGCAAATCAAGATGTTTACACAGGTGGCTGGCTGGGCTATGACATTACTCTTATGAATAATAGAATGCAGCAATACCAAGCTGAAGAGCACTGCTTAAAATGCTTAACTGCAAACCTCAAAGGCAGGGATGCGACATTGTTTGCAAGCTCCCTCAGTCCAGGGGGTCATACAGCTCTGCTGTGTTATATGATAAAACCTGCTCCAAGTTTGATTTGGTGATATACTGGTAAAAAAAATCATGGCATCTGTTTTACCTGTTGCCCAGATTACTACTGCTTGTAACAGTTGTTATTGGAAGTGTTAAGGACATCACATAGTACAGACACCTGTACCGCTGTTCTGGCTTCTCTGGTGTGATGCTACTGCTCCTGTGACTTTTCCATTCAGGTGCTGCATGTGCAAAGACATCTCTGTCACAGTTGCAAGTGTTTTCCCTATGGCTGTATATTGCTTTCTGGTCGGGGTGGTTTCTCTTTGAAAGTCATGATATTGTGTGTTGACAGTGGAGAATGGCAACTTGGATAACTTAGCAGATCAGCAGCGCCTGGGAACCGTCAGTGTTCGCATCATGGTTCACGAGTGGCCTTTGGCATCCAGTTCTGATTTGCAGCTGATTGTTGTTCAGGAGGAAGTGACAGAAATTGATGGAAACCAGGTAAAATAAATCCCTGCTGCAATATTCGGTTTGCTTTTAATTTAGGAGAGGCAAGTAGTTGCCAAGGATTAAAAGGATTTAAAATGTATCTGGCTGGTGAGTAGAGCACAAAGTATATAATTTATGTTAAGATAGAACAGTACTGAAGGAGATAATAGCAAAGTTGGCCGTATAATAGTAGGTGTGTTTCATGAGGAGACTAAGTTTTAATGCTTCTATTCATATTTTAATGATTATCATTAAGTGTATCACATGCTCTTTCAACACATGCAAGCCAAGTCAGACTCACAAGCAAGACTTGGTTTATAAAGTAATATACAAAATATACAAAAGGAGCATGGGCTTGTTTTGAG